AGTGTGTGTGTGTGTGTGTGTGTGTGTGTGTGTGTGCATACGTGCGGCAGTAAGCTCAGGCAAAGGTATGGTGCCAAATCTACTGTCCCAAAGCCCAGGGACAACGCGGAATTTCGGATTTCTTTGGTGCAACAATACGCATTGTGATGGGTTTTGTCAAGTAGTGATGTTTGTCGTGGCAATTGTGATGATGATGATGATGATGATGATGATGATGATGATGATGATGATGATGATGATGATGATGATGATGATGAAGATGATGATGATGAATACAACGACGGCAACGATGAAGATAACTGACAAAACACGCAGAGTTTTCCATAACTCTCTAAACGCCATATTGTGATACAAAATAGTCAGCATAACAACGCCCATTATATTGACAACGATGACAACAGCTACGATCATAACAACAACAACAACAACAACAACAACAGCAGGAACAACAACATCGGCAACAACAAAAACCTCAATAGTGACTTCGATGGCGTTGATGATTGATCACAACAGCAGCAGGAACAACTGCATTTACAGAAGACACTGACCATGAGCGTTAGACCAACAACAACAACAACAACAACACCACCACCAACAACAACAACAACAACAACAACAACAACAACAACAACAACAACAACAGAACCAACAGCAACAACAACTACAATTACAGAAGACACTGACTAAGAGCGTTAGACCACCACCAACACCACCACCACCAACACCACCACCACCAACAACAACAACATCAACAACAACAACAACACCACCACCACCAACAGCAACAACAACAGAACCAACAGCAGCAACTACAATTACAGAAGACACTGAGCACTAACATGAGACCTTACCTTCATACGTCTCTCCAGGCCTGTACGTATCCGGAGTGGGTAATCCGTTTATGGTAATCCGAAATCCGTTATCCCCACTCGTCTTTCCCGAGGTGGTGTGGATGGGAATGCCCTCACAGATCTGCTTCACGTATGACGCAATGTCAGCACTGGTCATGTGACCTAGCAGAACCAGTGACGTCACAAGAAAGGCCCACATCGGGGCGACTACACATTGCCTCATCATAGTGCTAAAGAGGTGAAAGCGAAGAGGCGAGGAAGGAACTGGGAGAAATACACGCACAACAAAAAGAGGGTGCTTTGGTTGGGAGGCAATCCTTTTCCGAGGTGCTTGATGAAGCGAAATCTGTTTCAAATTGTCGTTAGTTTGGGTAACTGAGAGTTATCCCGGGTGAATACTCGACAATCATCCAGCACACTTTTGTCGAAACTTCATCCTCGGAAGTTTGGGCGGGTTCATGGTCTTGTGCGCCAAGATTGCTGCATTAGGACGCTCTAGAGGGGAGAGAACGTGTTTCCTTTTTATGCTTGTTGTTTTGTTGTTCTTTTGTTGTTAGATGTTCTTTGTTTGTTTATTGTTGCTTTTTTTTAGGGGGGGATTGTTTGTTTTTGTTTGTTATTTGGTTTTGTATTAGGGTTTTTTGGGGTTTTTTTTCTCAAGGACGGTGTGTGGTACGATTATTGACAATGGGGGATGTTTGAAGAGCTTGCAAGTGGTGCTGTTGCTTCTGTTTTTATTGTTTTTGTTGCTGCTGCTGTTGCTGCTGCTGTTGTTGTTGGTGGTGGCGGTGTTGTTGTTGTTACTACTGTAACGTTCCAGGAGTTAAACACTCTACTAGACAATATCCTAGGCCTAAAAAACAACTGGGCAGAGAAGCGCCAACGACGAAAGGAAAACAGCGGAAATACAGAGCTTCGATCCACGTCACTGACATGCAATCACTGCGACAGAATCTGCGCTTCAAATATAATGAAAGAATTATTAGCCATGAAAGAAGCTGAATGAAGACAACCTTGAGACCATCTCAAGCTGGCTTGACTGTCGGTATAGACGAAATGAGCCAAACAGAAATCATCATATTAAGCATGTCTTTCCGAAGACATGAGGCTGGGACGCAACATCCCATAACGGCTGAGAAAAAAACAACATTCAGAACCAAATTTCGGTTTCGAACCCCGTTATTCCATGTGGCAGACGAAGGTCGCTTACACGAATGCGCCAAATTGGCCCTAGGCCTGACATCTCCAAAAGCAGAAACGTAATTAGTTCTTTTTTTTATTGACTGACTTCTCACCTCCGGAGTTTAAGGGTCATCACTGGTGTGTTATCCTTCTTTGCCTTTTCGGGGGTATCATTTTACATTTGTTTTTATAACAACAGATTTGAATCTGGAATGAATCTTAAGAGTTGACAGCAGAGGAAAACAGTCGGACTAGCCTGGAGACCTCATACCGGTGAGGGGGCTCGGTGCGTCAGAAAAGCTGTAGAGAGGAAGAGCCCGAAACAGCGACGCATTCTCTCCTGATGATCTCCATGCTAGAGTCCGGGATACGGAGCGTTCGTCTGTCAGCAGTGCATATGGCTGATTACATTTTTATTTTGCATTTATTTATGTATTTATTTATTTGTTTATTTACCAAAGGGGGGGGGGGGATAAAGGTAAACAGACGTAGAGTTGGGACATTTATAGGTGGCAGGGGCATCTTAGTCAAGTGACACGATGTTAGTCCAGCAATTAAATAGTTTTGTGTGCTTACGTCCATCCTGTTTTCCTCACTTCGTTCGGCTATCAGTCAGTTATCATGGAGGTGTAACCTATAGAGAGTCGTGTTGTTAAATACTATGTTTTGTAACATTCAAAATTGATGTAATTGTAAAGTGAATTTGTTAAAACACTAAGTTTCCTGCGTGTATTTGAACGCATGTTCTTATAAAGGGGCTTCGTTAAACTGGCATGTTCTGTAATATGCCTCAATCGGTCTACTTATTAAGTGGCGATGATTCAACCTCAGAATTTATTGTTTTTGGATTCCGTCGCAAACACTATTGTTGCCCAAATTTCCTCGCCGCGGTTTTAAAAAACCTATAATGGAGTGTTTCTGAGCCGGACAGTTTGCCCGTGTGGCTTTTTGTTTTTTAGTTTTAGCTTGTGCATTTGCGTTAATGGATTGGTTTTGTGTTTGATTTAGACTCTATTTTTCTGTTGGCCGTCGTCTGTACAATGCAAGTGTAGCATGACTTTTTCACTGTGTGGATTCAATATTTCTATTTTTTTAATGTGATTATTGATTTAAATTATAGATTACAAAGTGTATAGAGCTTGCTGTTGCGTGAGAATTTGCGCTGTACAAATAAATATTTTTTTAAGTTGTTATTATTTTTTTAAAATTATTATTTTTATTATTATTTTATTATTATTATTATTAATAATATGATTATTACAATTAAGAGGCAGAACCTCTAAATAAATACCCATCCACGATTTGAGTACCGAGCCCAAACTTATGGAAACTTCTTTAGCAAACCATGGTCGAGTAAAGATTTGAACCATGGCCATCGCATATTGCAGTCCAGCTAAGACTGTTGCCGGGGTGTGTTTCAGTGTGTAATAGAGATAGTTAGCCCATATACAACACCAACTCCTCAACCCCTCCCCCCCCCAAACCAGGGCAGTGCTACTGACAGAGAAGTGTCTTTAGGCCATTCCCGAAAAGGGGGGGGGGTTATTAACATGTTCTTATGCACAGTAGAAATGTAAATGTCATGCTCATATTGTGCCGGAACAAGATAGGGGGAACTGCGATATTCTCTTTCCTCATCCTTACGATCGTCATTTTTCCTCTACTTCTTTTACATATGTTTGTCACTCTCTTGTGAACTGCTATTTCAGGGTTGCCTTGGTAGTCGAAGCAGACTTTGTGCTGTTGAGGCTAGAGAGGTGAGCAGAGTAAGCCTGATTCCCCGTCTGGACTTCTCTGTTGACATCCACCCCTAGGCGATCATATGACCTTATGCAGTTGCGAACGCCGAAAAACCTTACTAAAACTAATTAAACAACCTCTTGGCGCTCATAATATTATGACATTATGCAGTTGGGAGCGCCGTAAAACCTTACTATATAAAATTTAAAAATAATACCGATTCCACTAAAACTACTACTAGGGTGTGTGTAAGAGTAATAGTGATCCAATATACAATACAAACTCCTGAGAAAAATGTGTACACACTTTCTATCAAACACGCCGGAAGTGGAAATAAAACACTGGCCCCAAAAACTCTCCACTAAAGTGTCGGGAGCCTGTCTGAGGGCGCCTCTGTGACTGTCAACGGCCCTGTCTTTATCGCCTCTGTAGTTTTGTATCTGTGTTTTCTATCTTAGGGAGGTCGGTGTGTGTACACACGTGGGTTATGGGGGTGGGGGAGGAGGTGGGGTGGAGGGAGGAGAGTGAGAAGGGGAGGGTGGGCAAAAAGAGAGAGAGAAGTGGGGACAGAAGAAGAGAGAGGGGAGAGTGAGAGAGAGAGAGTGAGTGAGAGAGGGGGGG